GCTTGGAAAGAAATATGGGACACTGGTCGGATAGACATTGAAGGTGATCTAGAGATGGCACAGGCAGTGTATGGTAGTATGTACTACATTCTAAGCTCCACCCGACATGATTGGCCGTACGGATTAAGCCCCGGGGGTCTACCGGGTGGCGAGGAGTACATGGGGCATACATTCTGGGATCAGGATATTTGGATGTACCCCCCTCTAGTCCTGCTTCATCCAGACTTGGCCAGAAGTTCCATGAGATATCGTAAGAACAGGTTGCCGGCTGCGCGCAGAATCGCCAAGGAGTATGGATATAAAGGTAAAAAAAAAAAATCCTGACAATTTTTGCGCAAAATGTCTACCCATCTATCCGTTCATTTTGTCTGTCCATTATTTATCCATCCATCCATCCATCCATTTATCCAGCCATGAGCCTGTCTGTCTGTTTGTCTGTCTGTCTGTCTATGATTTGCTAACCAGATTAAAGAAAGAAGGTTAACTAAAAATGGTTTTGGGTAAGCTAGACTTATACTATCAGCACCAGGAAAAAGGTTCCAGAAGATTAAGCTATTAATCATAAGTAACTTATGTTGTGTGTAATATTTTCTGTACGGAATTTATGTGCGTCAAATTTCAGTTTTGTTCAATTCTTTCATCACGTTTTGTTTCTCTGTTTGCCTAGGAAGTAACTATAGTGCTAGATGCATGGATAAATAGTGTAAGATTTGCAACCTAAGTGTTATCCTGTCAACAAAATGTCATACACAGTCCTTTTTTCTTCAATCAGGTGCTATGTTTCCCTGGGAGAGTTCCTATACTGGCCTGGAGACTTCCCCTGGGGAAAAGTACGGTAAAAATCAGAATCACATTACCGGTGACGTCGCGTTTGCAGCCAAGATGCTCTGGGAGGCTACCAAGGATTTCTACTGGTTGCGGGAAGTTGGTTACCCGCTTGCGTACCAGACCGCGGAGTACTGGGCAAGCCGTGTAGAATATGATGCTGAGAACGACAGATACGTCATCAATGACGTCATGCCGCCAGATGAGTATCACTATCCGGTCAACAATTCATTTTTCACTAACGTTGTGGCTAAGATAAATCTTCTCTTTGCCAAAGAAGCCGCCGATATCTTGGGCAAAGAGGTTCCAGAATTGTGGTCAACGATTGCGGAAAAAATGTTCATTCCTTTCGACAGTCACTATAAATACCATCCGGAGTTTGACGGCTACGACCGAACAGTGTGGGTCAAACAAGCAGATGTGATACTGACAGGCTTTCCGTTGATGTATGACATGGACAAGCAGGTAAACATCATGGGTAAATGTTTGTCTGTCTTAGCAACATTATATCTTCTCTCGCCGGAGACCTCAGTGTGAAAATTTGCTATTGAGAATTCATCAACCTATCAGAGAGTCGTCACGGATCTCGGTAGAGCTACGTCATCTGTCGGGTTAAAACTCACAAGTACCTTTAAGGGGGGTTCAGTTGCCCCAAAATTCCGGTAACAGGTTATGGCTTGAAACATCAAAGGATTCCCACCTGTGAGCCAAACACCTCTGTTCTGCTGCTGGCATTCAAGATGTATTCTCTGATTAACAAGTAGATTCCATGATGACGTGCGTCTGCTCAGAAATTGATCACAGATGACGTCAAAATGTGGTAAGAACATTTTGACGTCTTCAGTGGCCAATTACTGAACAGTGTTATGTAATAAAGAGAAAAAAATGTCAATGAGCTCATCTATGCGTCTGCCTTCCGATTGATCACAACCAAGAGCCAATCAAAATGCGAGAGTAATTCGACATATTCTATAATATGTGACTTGCAACTGGTTAAGGCATTTTTTGTTTGATCATGAGAGATCTAAAAGTTAGTGTTTCTTTGATGTATTTGTGTACTTTGTCTGTATTAAGGTGTCAAATGTCTCAACAGAATACTACTTTCTATTTTGTGTTCCTTCAGGTTCGCTTGAATGACTTAGCATTTTACGAGAATCGCACAGATCCTAGCGGCCCTGCCATGACACATGCTATGTTTGCTATTGGCTGGCTGGAAGCTGGTAAAAAACAGAAAGCAGAAAAGTCCTTCTTGAAGAACTATGCTAACATCCAAGGTCCTTTTAAGGTATTCCATTACTTTTGTCTCTAACAAGTCCTAATTTGTAGTTTTAGAAGAGAAGAGACTGAACACTAGAAGCGAGTACCCTGCGAGACAGACGTTCCCTTCTCCTCCTACCTGATGAGAGGAGAGGGCACCTCTGCTCGCAACCGCTCGATTGTTTCATCAGCCGCCGACCACAACTGGGGACAGCATGTTCTTAAATGGAGCCAATTTTGGTCTAATTTGTCTGTTCCTTTGTCACTCGTTGTGAAATTTACGAAATTTCTTTAGTTTCTCTTAGGCCCCGTTCACAGTACGCCGGAGGATTTCGAAAACGGAGTTTTCACTCTGAAAACGCATTAAATGTTTTCCGTCCACACTGCGCCGGAGGAATTTATAAACGCAACAATCAGCGGTCATTTTGGATTTGTGTTTGAGGAAAACTCGGCCAGGGAAATCACGTGATGATTGTACGTGACGCCATCGTTTTCTAAATGTTTTCCGTCCACACGAAAACGAAAAGCCGGCGTTTTCAAATTCCTCCGGTTTGAAAAGCGTTTTCGAAACGCTCCGTTTTCGTGGCCTTAAATCTGCGTTCGATTGCCTCAATCATTTTCACCCGAAGCTTTGGATTCCACAGCTTCGTTTTCGATTCAAACGTTTCTGTTAAAACAATTCAACTAATGTAAACCGTATTGGTTTGTAGATACAATCCACGAAAGAATTTTTTTTGTTAGTAACTGTCTGACTGTTACTTTGGGGATAGTGGTTTCTTTGAGCACGCAGCGGACAATACCGTGTGAACGAATTTCCTTCTATCCTTGTAGAGAAGTGATGATAACAATAGTTTTTCATTTGTGCAACAATTACAGTATTTCTAAAATGATGCTACCCACTGTCTACCACTTCTGAAATCTTACTGGCTGGCGTTTACCCGCCAACAAACTAGTAAGTTAACGTGATAAATAAAACGGCAATGCTGTCAGAGATCGCAGATTTGTTACCGTAAAATTCCGGTAATACCCCTCCCTCGTTAAAAGGCCCCCCTGGAACCCCTTCCCCTTGTCTATAAACCCACCGAAAACTCCTTAAGAAGTTGCATAAGCCCAGGGCTCTAACCGGAATTTTACTGCATTTCAGGCCCGATTTTACCTTTTGTAAGTATTCCGCTGCTCTGCTTGATTGTAGGCTCTAGAGGACGTTAGAATGTAACTCAAACGTTAATTTTTCAAATTTGAACATTTTGCAGGTATGGTCCGAGAGGAGGTACGGCTATGGTGCAGTGAATTTCATTACTGGAGCTGGAGGCTTCTTGCAAGCTGTTCTCTACGGTTATGGCGGCTTCCGATTAAAAGACGATGGCCTCCACTTCAAGTCCACCCTCCCTTCCAGGGTAACGAAGTTAACCCTGAACATACACTATCTGGGATGCTCGCTAAAGTTTGAGGTACACGTCAGGGGGATAACCTGCACGCTGGTGTCTAACGGCCCCATATCACCTGATCTGGAGGTGGTGAGAGGAAGACACGTGTACGCTTTGAAAAGGGGCGAGCCTGTTACCCTGAAAACAAAGCAAGGAGTGGTGCGCAAGCGCGTGAGTACAGTACAATCTGAAATGCCACAGGGCGTGAAAGGATGTCATCGTAATTTGTAAACAAGATCTCATTTACTAAACGCATGCGTATACCGCAAGCCTCCTGTCCACCCAAACAGGAAGTGTCCATTGAAGTCTGGAGGGAACGAGTCTACTTCGGAACCTGTTCGCTTATGGGAAGGGTCCGTGTGCATCAGGCAGGTATATCGGATTAGGAAGCACTCTGCATGAAAGTGAGCGTACTGTAAGCCATTCTTACGTTTTGCGCTCGCTTAACTCAAAATTTTCTTCTATCTCCAGGGCAAAGAAAAACTATTATAAACATCTTTGGAACCTACTTTTCTTATTTACTATTATTTCGAGCTCCTCTCCTCTCAAGTGCCCAAAGATTTTTGACTTCGCGTTATGAAAATTATTAGCAACAGAAAATCTGTTAGTATTCCTGATGTTTTTCACCAAGAGGATAAATTGTTCTTTCTTAATAGGCCATTTCTGAGTTACGTTTTGCCTCTGAGTCAAAACGAGTCTCCGTGCGAAACCGGTCATATGAAAATATGTTCCGCCTACAGGTTCATTTTGATGCAAATAAAACTCATTTTCATTTGAATGGTTTTGCAGAAGGACTCGTTTTGAAACAAAAACTCAAGGTAACTCGGAAATGGCCTGTTTTATCTCCTAGATATTCTCCCCCTCCCGTCCCCTCCCCTCTACTTCACTTCCCTCTCCTCTACTTTCCTCGTTATTTTGCGTCTATTTGTAATACATGAGTTGTTTTCATCGGATTAATCACTCGCTCCTTTTTCACAACCGTGACTTCGCTGTCGGGTGAATGGAATTTCACAACATAACCTGGAGCCTTTGAAAACACTCCATGCAAACCATCCACATTGATGCTATATCCTTGATTGCTTGACTGTGATAGCAAGTTAGTGCTCCTTGATGGGCCAATGTAGGAAGACCCGTAGATTGAAGCTGTGGGGCTGAAAAACAAAGAGGTCTTGACTGGAACTCGAGCAATGCCCAAAGTTTGTGGTACATAGAACTGAGGGAGCAAGGCTGCATTTTGACCAAATATATTTGGATAACTCAACCGTAATCTCTGAAGCATTTTTTGTCTTAGTCGAGCAGAGAACGCCCTTAACCTATTCAGGGCCTCAAGATGTCGTTCTCGATCGATCATGGCGGGAGTTTGATCCTCATTTCCGCCATAGATCCGCATTAATTCTTGGCTCATTACATCTGATATTTCGTAAGGTGTAATCTTATGATTTTTATCTTCTGCGAGCTTCTTTAACGAATGTGAGGGTTGCTCGTCATCTTCACTGCTATGATTGGGTTTTCTCCCACCTTCATCTTCTGCATTCTTGTCCTCGTCTTCATCATTGTCATCATTGTCATCATTGTCATCATCCGGCGGTAATGGTATATCATGCTCTTCTTTATGCCCTTTTTCGCTTCCTGTGTCTTCGTCATGTTTGTCTTCGTCATCTGAAACACGATCGCCTCCTTCGCGCACGTGACCTGGGACAGAATCACCCTCGTTTTCACGATCATCAGAGTCGTCCGTGATTGGTTCATCCGAATCCGAATCCGGGTCGGCTTTAGTCGTCATGATCCCTAGCAACATCTTATCTTTTAGTTTATCTCTAGTGACTGCGTCCTCATCGTCAAGAACCTCATCAGAATCTCGTGGTCCGTCAATCGGAAGCTTAACCAAGGTTGCTTGTCGGGCACGTTCAATTCTAAAATGTCGCGTTGCTAAAGGGCTTTGCGTTGGTGACTGCAAAGTGACCTTAACCGGCAACTTTTTCCTTGTAAACCTGTCTTTTGTAGTTGGTTCTTTAAACTTGTTTTTGAATTTGTCAGTCTTGCTTACGAACGCCTGTTTTTCCTTGCTAGTCTCCTTGGTGATTAGTTTTTCTTTCAGCCTGTGTCTGGCTAAATGTTCTTTGACTTCGCTCAGCAATGTCTCCTTGCTTATTTTCGTAAAACTTCCCTGCTTCACTAGTTTCTTCAGATGATGGTGTCCTGAGAAAAGAACAACATTGCTTTGCATCAGGATTGGCTTAGGGCTTGGCTCAATTCCTGGCTTCTGATTGAATGCATCTTGAACCTCTTAAGGAGTTATCAGGTGTGGGGAAACCACAATAAACATTCATGCATGAATTTCACTGGTCCTCAATGACCATGAAAATCTCGTAAGAACGATTTACCTAATGTTACAAGAGATATGACTTTACACATTTAAACGTTTCACTGTCCAGTCAATTTTTTTCTTCTTTTCTTTTTTTTTTTTTAAACAACTGTGTTTTCTTTTTTCCTATACAGTGTAAGTAGATTTACAAGCTGCCAACGTGCATCATCATGAAAATTAATGGACCTGGTTTTTCCGAGTCTGGGAAACCTAAACAAAGCGAATGCATTTTTAATACATCTTTCTGTTTGACTTCTCGTTGATTGTTTAGCAGTTGTCAAAGTTTGACATCGTGGATGGGACTGGCTCCCTATAGCTAAGATATCAATGAAATGGAAATAATATAATTATCTAGGAGACACGAAGGAGCTCTCATCCACTCGTTTAGAAGGTGTTAAGTTCGTGCGTCGAGATCGAATGAGAATTTAAAGTGTTAGTTTTTGTGTAGAGAGGAAAACCCGCTAATCCGGGAAAAAAATCCTCGGGGCAAGACAAGAGCCAAACTCACCACGCGTTCAAGTCGAGTAAAACACAAGTCTTAACTATCAAATTGTAATGTTGGAAACTGGGTTCATAAATATTGATCATACTAAAAAGGCTGCAACAAGCTCAAGTGGGACTTTTAAAAAAGCTTAGCTTTTGTGAGTTTTCCCTTTATGTTTTAACACTACAACTGGGTTTTTGTTGTAAACTACATGTAGAAATAACAGTAATCTTAGTTAATCCTTACTATGTGTGGTTTGTGATATTAGGTCACCTTTCTTCGAATTCGCTCCCAGTTCTTTGGACGCGCAAAGAGAAACCAAAACAACCATAAGAAGAGGAGGCAGTTGCATGGAGAATTTCTGTTCTTGCCGGCGGCGCCACGATGTTTAATTTGGAAGAGAACGCGATAGAAATGACATCGCGCTAGGAATACTGTATGCAAGTTTGATTGTATGGCACTTCAGACGAGACAAAAAACACTTGAATTGGGCAGATGTGTTGACGGTCACCAGCAGTCATGAAACGCTACCTGCTGTGCGTAAATAGCTCAGAGCGAATTTTGAACAAGCAGAAAATGGAATTAACTAGTTTCGGGGTTGGAACATAAAGTGAATTTGTATTTAGCAGAACGTTTTCCTCCCTTTACCAGCGGTTTTCATTTGAGCCGAGTGTCGAAAAGAAATTGGTTTTGCACTACCTCGT